TCTGAAATGCTTCATAAAAAAAACTGAAAAGTTGTTGGAAGTTTGCCTGAGTAAAAAGCATGTAAGGACATCAAGAGCTGAGTTCATACTGACAGATAAATACAGTAAAAACAAAATTTAACATGATGACATTCTGATAAGATTTGTTAAATATCTTGTGCAAATGGTTATGAAACTTGGCTTTATGAGTTGATTTACAGAGAATTTAGGGAAATGCAGATATTGTAAAGTATCTTGCTGGCAAATGAAAGAAATCCCTAGAGCTTGTCTGCTCTTCATAGAAGTAGAAAATACAGCAGCTGTTTGACAAAGAATGGAAGTAAAACAAAAATAGAGTAGATTAATATTTCAGATGCCTTGAGTACTTCCTGAGACTTGTTTGTGTGGTTTGGTTTGGTTTTGGGCTTAATAGTTTTAGGGTCTGTATAAAAACAATAAGTAAACCTTCACTTTCATTTAAACTTATAAATCTGAGTCTTTTGGAAATCTTTCTCCCATCAGAGGTAGTGCTTCTAGGTTAGCTGCTAGGTCAGGTTAGAGGAAGGTCTAAGACGTGCAGGAGAGCTTCAAAATGAAAAAAAAAAACAAGACAACTTTTAAGCATGAATACAGTTAGCACGTGGACAAAGTATTAAAGTAAATGAAGAGCCCTGCTTATTGTTGCCCTAAAATTAAGACCAACTGACTATCTGGGATGTGTGCTTTAGCCTGGCAAAATACTGTGCGTGCTGATAGGATAGTTTGGACGGACACAGCGTTCCTCAGGAGGTTGGTGGTCATCCAACTAGAAAACCCATTGATCCTTTAATGGTTCTTTCCATGAGCACCTCACATCACTGGGAGCCAGTTAACACAAGTCTGGAGATGGTCCATAGTTTTTTTTCTCAAGGATGATGATGGACCCTGTTGTACCATTCAGTTTCCATGTTCATGCATTTGTCAGCTCACTGCAGTGTTGCTTGGCAATGTGTCCACCTACCCTTGGAGGACTTGGAGAGGCAGCCTTGGACAGAAATGTTACTCTACTGCCTTTTACTCCTTCAGGGACAAAGGCTTACATCCTGAGCTTCCCATAAGGTTGTGGTTTGCTTTCTCCACTAGCTAGCAACTTGAAACGCATAGTTTATATGGGCTGAATATTGCTAGGATTGAAACATTTTTACTGTGTTATAGGGAGTTGGACTTGATGATTCTGGGTTTCTTCCAACTTGTGCTTTCTATGATGCTATGAAATGTAATGTGTCTGCTGGAGTGAAAGGGTGGTCAGCAAGTTTTTTACCTTGGTAGACCTGCAGAGGCAAATTTTGACTAGTCTGTAGAAGTGTATCTTTGTAATGCATCTGTAGCAGCTAGAGTAGCAGTTGGGCTATTACAGATGTACTAGAAAATAAAGTAATTTCATATTACTTATTCAACAATATATATATTATGCAACATTGTATGTATTTTACACTTACAACTATTGGTCTATTTACAATCCTAAGACATCTGTTACAGTAAACATTTGTGTTTTCTTGTGATGCAAGAGCGAAATCAAGGAACAAATGCTCATATATTGAGGCCTGAAAAAAAAAGATTTCTTTTTGAACACAGAGAGTAATTTAACAACTGAAACTGCAGGGAGCGAAGTAGCAAATGTTACAGACTCACAGGAATTCGTGGGTGTGGGTTTGTGGTTTATGTTACAGAAGCTAGACCCCAGATGACCAGAATGATCCTTCTTGGCACTGCAGCTGACCAGTGGTGCATCTGGAGCATCCCACAGTGTTATGGTGTGTTTTTTCCACTAGCTAGACTGCAGGTGTTTGGGGTTGTACAGCAAGGAGTACAAGGGAATGGAAAGTGAAAGGGAAAAAGTGCTTGGGATGTGTTTATGCAGCTGGGCTGCTTGCAAGGAGTCAGCTTTGCAATAGGAAGGCTCTGGCTGAAGCAATGAGAATTCAAGTCATGGTGGTCTCGCCTTGATCATCCAGACACCCTTGGT